TTGGAACGCCTGTATATATGTAATAATTAATTTAATTTAAGAACATATATATAAAAATATATATATATTTATTTTATTGATAAAATATAATTCAATATTTTAAGATCATATTCTATAACTATGTTACTAATTATTCAAAATTTAAATTTTGAGAAGAAAATATTTAATATTTTTTTGTATGAAGATTTCATATTCATATTTATATGTTTCAAAGATATTTCAATTATAATATAAATGAATTAAATTATAAATAAGTTTCAGATATAAGATTCTATTATTTTTAGATAAATTTAACATAATAATTGTTGAAGTATTTGTAAAATAAAAGAAATTACATTAAAAAAAATATATATTATATATCAAAAAGTATTTTTTTGGGCCCCCATAAAAAATGGGCCTTGGGTGTGGGCCCTGCTCGCCCCATCCCAAGGTCGGCTTCGCTTTATCTGATCATGTCAGTTGATTGATATCACATGACTTACTGAATATCTTGCTTGCTTTTTGTCGATCATCCTCTCGCTAGCTTGTGGTCGATCATTCTCTCGCTACAGAAGTTTCCGGTGTTTGTCTCGCCCGTTGGACTTTACTCGCAGACACCTGGTTTTGTAGATTATTAAAGACGACGTCTCTTTCGGGCCTTTTTTGTCTAGACCTGCTTGATGGTCAGAATTGTTGAAATTGATGCTGATCACCATCTATATTCTCTTTAACATGCCTAGTGTAGATGATGTCCTAGTGTTGACAAGTAAACTCTTTTTATACTCATCATACATATTATACAATACTTTTTGCCGTTAGTTAAATGTATCATTTAATATTAATATCTCCAATGGGCACCCTCAAGTGCAGACGAATTACATTTGAAGTTTTGCACTTGAAATATTTGAAATGGGTGGCGGCGGGATTCGAACTCAAGACCTTTTAATTTGGTCTCACTCTAATACCATATTGAATGAAATTTATCTCAATTAAAAGTTTAAATTAGTAAAATATATCATTTAATATTAATATCTCTAATAATTTCAAGTTCGAGCATATTTGGACTAAAATTTATAATTTTCTAATTTTAACCTGAGGATCGGTAATTGTAACGAGCATAGTTATGAATCCATACCGGTAGACACTTTATGAGGGTGTCGTCTAATGATTCAAGCTTAGTTCAATGTCGATATATTTAAACTTGTCTTCGGTTGATGTTGGCGTTTTCACTTGAGGAGAATCGAAGTCAAATTCTACCAAATGCTTCCCTTGTAGACTTAGTACACAATAAAAAACGGGCCGGACAAAGTGTTCAAGACTTTGAAAACTTGTGTCAAACAGATGAAGAGAGTCAAACTTGGTGATAGAATTCTGGAGTCGTTGCAGCCTTGGGCTCCTCCTAATGTTCCGAGGAATATTAGAGCTGGGCAAGACGGTTTGCTATCCGAGTTTCTCAAAATTTGTGAACTGAAAATTAAATCTTTGCAGGCGCTTAGACTTCGTCACATGGCTTACTGAATCTCTCGCTTGCTTTTTGTCGATCATCCTCTCGCTAGTTTGTGGTCGATCATTCTCTCGCTACAGAAGTTTCCAGCGTTTGTCTCGCTCGTGGGACTTTACTCGCAGACACCGGGTTTCATAGATTATTAAAGACGACGTCTCTTTCGGGCCTTTTTTGGCTAGACCTGCTTGATGGTCATAATTGTTGAAATTGATGCTGATCAACATCTATATTCTCTTCTTTCTAACATGCCTAGTGTAGATGATGTCCTAGTGTTGGCAAGTAAACTCTTTTTATACTCATCATATATATTATACAATACTTTTTGTCGTTAGTGAAATGTATCATTTAATATTAACATCTCTAATGGGCACCCTCAAGTGCAGACGAATTACATTTGAGGTTTTGCACTTGAAATATTTGAAATGAGTGGCGGCGGGATTCGAACTCAAGACCTTTTAATTTGGTCTGACTCTAATACCATGTTGAATGAAATTTATCTCAACTAAAAGTTTAAATTAGTGAAATACATCATTTAATATTAATATCTCCAATAATTTCATGTTGGAGCATATTTGGACTAAAATTTATAATTTTCTAATTTTAACTTGAGGATCGGTAATTGTAACGAGCATAGTTATGAATCCATACTAGTAGACACTTTATGAGGGTGTCGTCTAATGATTCAAGCTTAGTTCAATGTCGATATATTTAAACTTGTTTTCGGTTGATGTTGGCGTTTTCGCTTGAGAAGAATCGAAGTCAAATTCTACCAAATGCTTCTCTTGTAGACTTGGTACACAATAAAAAAAATCTATGAATGTAATTAGCTTGCAATACTTGCATTATGTCTGCATAGTGAGTAGAAGAAATGAGTAGAGTTGTATTTTGTCAAAATGAGTAGAAGAAAGATTTGTTTAGAGAAACTGAAATGAATACCAAAACTTTCTTGCAAAATAACCGAATATTGTAAACTAATAAGAGAATTGATACTTGAGAATTGAGAGAGTAGAGATAATTGTGAGTGAATATAGGTAAAGATAGGAAAAAAAAATTGAAATCTGGACGGGTTGGTTCCGGTTCGACCCCGTCAAAAGTAGTCCGATTGGATTTTTTAAACCGGAACAATCGCCGATTCCCCTGACCGGTTTGCTGGGTTGGCTAAACTGTTTACGGGCTAAAAATATCAGAAACCAGAACCGACCCATAATTATCGGGTCCGATTCCAGATCGGGTATAGTTCGAAAGTCAACAGGCCAGTTTTGGGACCAACCCAGCCCGTGGCTACATAGTGATATTACGACACGGGCTCGGATACAAAAAACTTTATTTAAAAAAAATTGAAAAAAAAAGGGAACATGCTGAACCGACAGCCACCAGCTCGCGACGAGCCAGCCCGCCACTGTAACAGTAATATTGAGTCCTACCCATTCTTGGGTTGGTGTTGGGCCGAGCGGGCTTGACGACATACTAATATGGGTGAGGGCGGGGCTTGTAGCCGGGCCAGGCCATTTTTTGAACAACTCCACTCTAAGAAAATATTCCCATTTTACCAAAAATAATGTTTTTTTTCCGTAATAAATAATTTAAATCTCAAGCATAATTTCTAAAAGTTTGCAAATTTGCAGAATTTCAATACATTACCTACCATTGGTGTTATTTTTTCCTTCAGAACAAAAGATAGCATATCATTACATCAAAACCACGACGCGTCTACATGGATCCGCAGTACATGTAGAATATTCAGATAGAAGATCATTACACAAAAGATTCGCGAGGAAGTGAGGAGGACAAGAGTCGAAAAACAAAGTTTCATCGTCTTCTAGAAAAGTCGCCTGCCTTCTTTGCAAGCGCATCAGCTAAACTATTAAGCTCCCGATACCAAAAGTCAACCATTACTTTGTTGAAGTTATGCATCATATTCCAAAGATCCTCATAAAAGAATTCGGAGCTTCCTACCAATTCGTGTCGTAATTTATAAAATCAACACTCAGACACTAGAGCATCAAACTGCACAACAAACGCCTATTCAACTATACACCGATGATTCGTTCAATAGTCCAAATGGAAAATATAACACTGATACGACAAACAACACGAACTACATAGAAAAAATGAGTTGATAAATAAATACCACCAAAATCGAAATGATTAAGAAAAAATCAACTCATCACCGAAACTCATTAAGCTATACAATAAAAAAAAAAAAAAAAAAAAAAAAACCTAAGCCCCAAAAACTACAACTAACTGAAAACAAACCGTAAACCGGCTGCCGATTACTACAAAGCCCCTTTATTGAGATCACCATCTCCCTCTTCAAGTTTCACTTGTTCTTGATTCATGTGTGCCACGTCATACGTGGCATGAACACCGGCCAATACATAGTAAACCATCATTATCGCGCTACATATGAAAAACCTCCAAATCGCCACCGCACCGAGCGACCCTATAAGGAAAATATTCATACCGATCGATAAAGAGGGCAATAACGGAACAAGCGGGACCCCCCAAACAGCGGGGGTCCTATGCTTCGAAGTCAACCCCATACCTAAAGTACTCAAACCCCAAAGTCCGCCCGACACACTGTACCCTACCCACCCCCTATAATTCGAACTCCAAAGAATCGTCACACAAAGTGACGAACCGAATATAACAAACAACGACACGATAAACTTAACCACGTCGCCCTTCGGCGTAACATCCTTAACATAGTACCTCCTCACGAGCAATGCAACCGCCATTAGCATGAAAATAAATAGCGTGCTAAAAGACAAAACGCTGGACAAAACATCCAAACTCGAGAAGAATGCAAGAATGCAACTACCCGTGGTTATTAAAAGAGTTGCGTAAATCGGAGTACCGGTTTTCGGATGAACCAACGCGAAGTAGGGAGGAATCATGTGGGCCCGGGCTATTTGGGTCGTGTATCGGGCTTGGCCCATTGAGCCGACGAGCATGCTCGTGGTCATCCCTTTTAGAGCAACAATGCTCACCAAATACTTTGCCCATTTCATTCCGATTTTCTCGAACACAACCGAATATGCCGCGTTAACATCGACCTCCGTGTACTTAACCATCATTGACAAAGCTAACGCCATTAGGCAGTAAACTACGGTGATTAACGACATTGACCCGACTAATCCTATCGGAATATCCCTCGAGGGCTTCTTCACCTCTTCGGCCATATTCGCCACCATGTCGAAACCAGTGTACGACCAGTAAACAACTGCGGCTGCGGTGAAGACGCCTTCTGCTCCGTAGGGGAAAAACGGCACCAAATTATCGGTTTCGCCATGGACGAAGCCGAAGATTATGATGAATATAATTACGGCGACGCCGAAAATCGAGCTGATCCAGTTCAGCATTGAGGTTCTCTTTGTACCTGTCATGGCGATTCCGTTCACAACGAGCAAGACCACCACGGCTAGTGGATCCAACAGATTGAACCCTTCGGCGAAAGATTCGATTTTGATTCGCAAGAAATCGGGGTTGCTCTTAATAATGCTAGCGAAATAGGAAGACCAAGAACGGCCCAAACCTGCGGCGCCGACGAGGCCCTCTAGCAGAATATTCCCGGCGGCGATGAATGCGATGAAATCGCCCAATTCGACGCGGAGGTAGGAGAAGGAGCCGCCGGCGATTGGGATCTCGACGGCGAATTCAGTGTAGCAGAAGACGGAGAGTAGGGCGGAGAGACCGGAGACGGCGTAGGAGAGGACGATGGCGGGTCCGGCGTGGTTGTGGGTCTCTTGGCCGGTGATGCTGAAGATTCCGGATCCGACGACGGAGCCGAAGCCGAGCCAGATGAGGTCCCACCACGTGAGGCACTTCTTCATCTCGTTCTCCGATTGCAGCTTTGACCGGACGAGCTCGTCGGCGTCGGAGGAGCGGCCGGTCAGGCGGTCCTTGAGGCGGTGGGGGGTTTTGGAGAGGGCGGAGAGGTAGGTGGAGAAGTTTTGGAAGGTGGGTTCGGGGAAGAAATCCTGTTTGGTGAAACGCCAGTAGGATTTTCCGGCGGCGGCGGCGGCGGAGGAGGGATCCATTGTTGTTGTGGTGGCGGTGGTGGGATTGAGTGGAGTAGTGAGATCTGATGAAACAATAGTAGTGTGGCCCATTTGAAGAAATGGAAATCAGAGTTTTGGGGGAAAAGGGAAGTTTGGGATTGGTAGATTATGGCGGAGGGAATTCCATGGATCGAGGGAGAGTTAGAGAGAGAGAGAGATAGAGAGAGAAAGTGTGTGTTTGTGTGTGTGAATTCAAATTGGCAAATTCGATTATACTAAAAAACAAATCAGATACTCCACGTGTAACATACCTGAACCTGGACTATATATTGGAGATACAATACCCTTCTTTTTTTCTTTCTTCTTTTTTTTTTTTTTTTTACTTGGGACTATATTGGAGTTAATTTCTTTTAACTTTTCTATTGATTTTTTTTGTTGATTTGATTTTAGCACAGTTAATCCTCTAAAAAATTAATACAGACTAGTAAAATTATATCAATTTAGTAAAATATTAAAGGGATTTTTGTGCATAGGTCTCTAACCAAGTATCTTTATTATTCTAAAGATTTAGAGGTTATATCTCTTTCACCAATAAACTCATCCCTTTAATATTAATTATAAATACATGAAATATTCATGTATATGACAATATTACCCCCAACCCTTTATATTCAATTCTTAATTGTAACCCCAATTTAATTAATTTTGTCCACAAAAATCCAATTTTGACTTTTTTTTTTCAAATTTTTTTTGTACCTCCGGATTCCGGCGTTGACTTTTCGATTTTTTTTTTCTTTTTTATGGTCTGTTTTTTTTCCGCCGCCGAATTCCAGCGTTGACCGCCGGTCTCAAGCGTTGACTTTTTTTAGTGTTTTTTTTTATATATATTTTATTATTTTTTTACGTCAGCCGCTAAATGTTGACCGTAATTGTGCTGTCACTAACAGTAAATTAACGTAATTATACTGTCAATAACAGTACATTAACGTAATTGTACTGCCGTTGACAATACATTTATGTAATTGTTCTGCCGTTGACAGTAAATTAACGTAATATTATTATTTAATTTTTTGTTATTTATTTTTTATTTTGTTTGATTTGTTGACAAGTCAACTTAATTATACTACTGTTGTTGACAGTAAAATAATTGTAAACACAATAATATTACTGTCAACCACATCAATATTATTATTTTTTAGGGTCTTTTGTTTTGTTTGAGTTATTCACGGAGTAACGTAATAATATTACTGTCTATTATTGTAATATTACTGTAAACACAAAAATATTACTATGGTTGACGGTAATATTACTGTTGTTATAGTAATATTGGTGTTAACCACATCAATATTATTATTTTGTTTGGGTTTTTTTGTTTGTTTGAGTTATTCACGGAGTAACGTGATAATATTACTATCTATTATTGTAATATGACTGTGGTTGACGGTAATATTACTGTTGTTATAGTAATATTACTGTCACTCACAGTAATATTAATTCTTTTGGCTTTTTATTATGTTTACATTTGTTGAACGGTCAACATAGTAATATTACTTTATTACACAATAATAATTAGTTTTGTTGTGTTAATATTACTGTGCTAGAGATTAATATAACAATATTATTGTGTTAAACTGTAGTATAGTTAATTTTACTGTGTTTAACAGTAATATAGTTAATATTACTGTCAATCACAACAATATTGTTGTTTAAACGAAAAAAAAAGATATTACAGAAAAAAAAATTCGAAAAAGTCAACGTCGGAGACCGGCGAAAAAAATCAGGAAGGAAAAAAAAAAGGTCAACGCCGGAGACCGGCGGTCGACGGTGGTGACGGACGAAATTGTCCATAAAAATGTGTTTTTGGTCAAAATTGAATAATTTATGAAATTTGGGGTCAAATTGAGGTTAAATTAAATTAAAGGATGAAATTTGAGCTTATTAAAGTATGAGAGGCTATTTTAGATTTTTTTAAAAATCTGGACCATGTGTGAACTTATTGGTAAATGAGTTTATTGTCTGGATCTCTTTATGAATAAGTACCCATTGATGGGCTTATTTGTATAGACCCCAATATTAAATTGGCGAACTAATAATGTGATATATTGTCATCGAGTCGGAACTCGAATAAATTATTATTTGAACGAGATTATTAATTTATCAATATTAATTTATGAATGTTGTGGTTGGAGCTAGCAGGACCCACGCACATGGCCCAATATTTCTAGAGGGGCCCAAATTTTTTTTTTTTTTTTTATACGGATCGTGCTAAATTTCATACTAAAATTTACTAAATTGCATATATAAATTTAAAATAAAAAAATTCTCTCTCTACTCATATCCTCTCTAACTTCTCTCTAAAATGATTTTATCTAAGTCACTCAAAATTCATTAATTTTTTTCGTGAATAATCATAATAAATGAGTTCAGTTTTATTTAATATTTATTCTATTTCATTAGGCCTTTATAATTATTCAATTTCATATCAATTTGATTTTTTCCTCAAATTCCAACTTTATTTTTGTTTAACATGTGACGATTTTTGTCAAATTCGAACTTGGAATGCTAGGGACGTTTTTAGTATGTGATTTTGTAAAAAAAGTTAGGGAAAAAGAAGAAGAGTCGGGAAGGAAAAGAGAAGATTTTAGAGAGATAAATATTTTTAATTATGTTCATAATTTGGTAAAAATTAGTCTGGAATTTAGCATTTCAGATTTGGTAAAAGTTTTTTTTCATTTTATTATCTTTTAGTTTATTTACGTATTTTTAATTTTACCCTTAAGATAGTTATAATTAACTATATCTTATTAATAAAAGCAAACATAAGAGCAACTCCAGCAAAACATCAAAATTGAAATATCAAATATTCATTTGATAATTAAGATAATATTTTAATATTCATTTACAATTCATCTACTCCAACTATGGTTATCAAAATTAATAATCAATTAGAATTTTTTTAGAAGTTTTATTTGTAATTACCACATGTCATTTTGTGATTGGATGTTTAGGTGGTTATTTTTTGATAACTCAATTTCCATGATGTAATTTCACTTATGAAGAGGTAGATTATCAAAATACTTACCTATTTTGATACTCCCATTGGAGTAGAAATTTTTAATTTTGGGATATCAAAAAGGTAGTTTATGGGTTTTAATAATCCATTTGATACTCCCATTGGAGTTGCTCTAATATATATGACATAATTATCCGTAACCCGTTAAACTCAGTTCCGAAGTGTAATCTCAATTTAACTTCAATTTTAATCACAAAAACCATATTTTGATTTTTTTCTTTGTTTGGACCTTTCTTTTTCCGGCCGATTTCCGGCGTTGATTTTTTTTCCTACTTTTTCCGCTTTCAGTTTTCGGGGACTTTTTATTTTTATTTTTTTTCTCTTCTAATTATTTTTTGTTTTTTTTACCTCCGCAGCTGAACGTTAACCGTAATTGTACTATCATTGACAGTAATTGTACTGTCGTTAACAGTACAATTAATGTAAACACAATAATAATACTGTCAACCACATGATCGCTGGACACAATTTAATTGGCTAATTTAATTAATCAATTAATTAATTTTATGTGTCTACATAAAATTAATTTCATCGGCCAAGTAGACAACGGATATTGTCCAGCTGGACAACTAACAGCCATATGGACGTCACGTGTGCCGCACGTGACAAATTCGTCCAACTTAACCATGAAATTTGACGGTCGAACCAAAATCGTGCAAAACTGATGAGTTTCGGGACTAATTTCGTAGGCATGACATTTTGGGGACCAAAATCATTTTAGTGATAAAGTATAAGGACGGAAACTGTAATTATCCCGAAGAAACGACATAAGAATCATATATTTGCTCACTAAGTTCGACATCTTAGTAAGACCGTAAGGGTTGGAGGACCGGAAAATTCCCATCTAGACAAGTCCATTTTCATTTTCATTTTTGCTTTAACCCTTCGTAGTAGCTCATAACAAGTTTTTTATTTACTTATGTTTTCGCCCAAGTAGATTACCGCTACTACCCTCTAGAACTCATTACATGAAGAAGAAAGATCATGCTTATTCCGCTCAAAGAATCATGACCGTCGATCCTGCGGACATTATTTGTGGGGCCCACTTACAAGCGGTCAAGATTACACATAACTTCCCCTAAGAATTACACCAACACCCGAAACAACGTTCGCATACCAAAGTTAATTACAAGTAATTACCAGGCCAAATAGTTTCATCCAACACTTCATAATATAGCAAGAATTTAATTCAGGATTTGCTTACTCAAACTGCTGCTGCAGCTAAAAACGTAGCCTCCATATCGAAAGTCAACCAAATCTCGTTGACTCTGTTCTTGAACTCAAAGGGCGAATTGTACTGAGCAACAATGTACTCGGCGGAATCTTTCGCGGAGTGGCTCTTGTCAATTGCTTCCGACCAAACAGTCCCTTCGATGCTGGAGTACAATGCAGCAGCTTGTTGACCGACATCATCGTCCATTGCGAAACCGCTGAATTGTCTTACAGCAACATACGTCAGCCCCCATTTTTGGAGATTAAGACCTTTTGCTGATGGGGCGGTGGCTTGGTTCTTTGTCGGAACAAAGAAACTGACAACAAAAGACGACGCACAAAAGGGCCCGTCGCTCGGTTTTACTTCGGATATTACAGGAGCTGTCATTTCGATTTTTTCGTTGTTGTCGTTTTTGCCCTGGATGTAGTCAAATAGCCTGTAATATAATGATGATTTAATATCACAATTAGCACTTGAAAATCAAGGGCTCATTAACCAACCACTAAGGCCTTGTTTGGGAGTTATGATTAAGGTTGATAAACAATATAATCAAGATTTCTCAAATAGCTGCTATTATTGCACAAAACTATCAAAGATATCACATTACTCACAAACCCCAAATGTAAGGTAAGTCCATATTAAATTATGGATGTGCTATTTCCACCCTCATAATATCTTAATTCACCACCAAATTAAATATATTTTCTATTTTGCCACTTTCTTCTTCTTACAACATATATTATGTACAATTTCATAAACCTTCCACCACTAAACTAATTAAAATATTTATAAAAATACTTCGGCATTAAGTGAACAATACCTCCGTCAGAGAAAAACATCTCCAAAGGTCAAAAAAACAGGAATTCACGTTCTTTGAAAAATAAATTAAGAGTGCTTGTATGGAAGCTCCAGTTTTGCTTAATATAATTTCGTTTCCTCAAACAATTTTTTTTTTTTACATAATTTGCTGCAGGTTGCAGCTCATCTAATATGGAAGTTTAAATCTTGTAATAAATAATTTTTTGAAAAAAAAATAGAAATAACTTAGAACACATGAGGATTAAGCGAATATAAATAAGGGTGGTGCATTAGAAATTCGAGGGGTATTTTATATATTTTTTGTGGTGAAAATAAATCATGGATAAACGAGGCTATGTTATCAATCCCATCAAGATTACCAAACGAGGGATAACTAAACTAAACACACAAACAAAAAATTGAGCGTTCTAAAATAAAATCTTACTGAAAGAAGGCAATTTTGCCAGCATCGACCAATGAAATGTCATCAATTGGCTGGGTTGAAATCCACATGCTCGAATTGTAACGCCGGATTTCGAAATCAGTTCCGGCGTGGATGACGTCGTAGGTTGGGCACTCGATGCGGTCGCATGTCGGAGGAAATACCCCAACGCCGCCGGCGCCGGCGCCGCCCTTGTTAGCCGTCAAGGTGGAGGCGGAGAAGAGAGAGACGAGGAGGATAGAGAGCTTGAATAGGTGAAACGCAGCCATTTTGATTGATGATATTATCAACTTCAGAATTGTATTACTCTATATAAATAAATAAATAAATAAATAAATAGTGGAGCATTTGGAAATGTTGATTCAATGGCGTAAATGGTGACACGTTAGTGATAAAATCACTTGGATACTAGAAATTGTACATGCCTAGGAATATGAGGATGAAACGAGAGTGTTCTCTCATCTTAAATTTTGTTTCACATATTTTTATTTTATTTTATTTCTGTCACTTATGTCATGTGAAATTGCACATATTTTTATTTAATTATTTAAAAAACTACAAGTCCTTAAGAATGCACCATAAATAAGAAGTTTCCATTCGTGACAATAAAACCATTCGATTATAAACAAAAAACTCAATATTTGTTCAATTATAATTAAATTATGGGTTAACTGCAAAAAATCCCCTAAACTTTGAACGTTTTTGCGCTTTACCCCCTGAACGGAAAAAAGTTGCACGAGCATACCTGAACTCTATTATTCTTAGCACCAATGTCCAAAATATCCATTTTTGGCCAAAATTGACCGGAATCCAAGTCACGTGCCTTACACGTGAATATAGCTGGGGTAAATGAGTCATTTCCTTTTACACCCATTCTCTTCCTTTTCTTTTTAATAAATATTAATAAATCTTAAAAAGAAAAAAAAAAAAGTTTTCTTCTTCCCGTCACCATCATCTCAACCAAACTCCTCCCGTCAACACCAGCCTTCAGCCGCCGCTTGCCGCCTCTGCATCACCTCCCTCCGCCACCTCTGCGCCGCCGCCTGCCGCCTCTACTTCACCTCCCTCCCCCACCTCTGCGCCGCCTCCCTCCACCGCCTGCCGCCTCTACTTCACCGTCCATCGGAAATTAAAGACTGTAACTTGAAAGCACATCACACCAAATTAATCAATCTCTCTCTCTCTCTCCCGAAAAAACAACACGAAATTGAGGACTGTATTGTTGATTAAGCTTTGATTCCATAAACTCAAATCCTTGGCGAATCAAACTCTGATTCAAAGAAAAAAAATTGGTCGGTGGCTGAAATTGATGCACCATCGCCGGCAGTTTCAATGGTGGAAGGTTTCTCCCTCACGATCACCACGAACACTCAATTTTCCAGTGATAGGTCCTTCACGATACAGGTGGCTACTCCGGTGGAACAAACCCGAAGGAGATGGAATCAAATCCGACATCTCCATTTCTGGGTTCGCCGCTAGGCCACTCGATTCTGTATGAGAGATGGTGGGTTTTCGGAGAGAGAAAAATCCGAATTGAGGTTTGAAGAATAGAGAGAAAGTGGGGTTATGGTTGTTGGGGTTAGAAGGGTTGAAGGAGAAGTGTACGGGAATGACGAGAGGAGAGTTGTTAGGGGAGCCAAAGGGCCGCTGATTTGAGAGTGAGACTAAGGGGTGGGGGACTGAAATTGGTGGACCTGGAAGAAACGTGCGGCCGAGATGGTGGTGGTGGTGGTGGTGCAGCGGAGGAGCAGAAGCCAGAGGTGGTGGCGCGGCGGCGGAGATTCTCCTGCTCTGTTTGGCTTCCAAGAGAATGATGAAGAAGATGACCAATTTTTTTTTTCTTTTTCTTTTTTTTTTCTTTTTTAGTTTTTTCTATAAACCTTGTGAGATGGCGAAATTGCCCCTCTATTTTCACGTGTGAATGGCACGTGTACAATTCAGGGAAGAATGTGGCTAAAAATGGAAGTTTTAGTTGCCGGTGCAACAATTTATTAAGTTCGGGTATGCTTGTGCAACTTTTTTCCGTTCAGGGGATAAAGTGCAAAAACGTCCAAAGTTTAGGGGATTTTTTGCAGTTAACCCTTAAATTATTTATTAACTTGAACTTTATAAATATAAGTTTGAAAAGATTAATGTCTAGATAACACAAATGTTAGAATAAAAAATATATTAAATTTCAAATCTATTTATAAAAAAATAATAAGAGTAGAATTTTTATAAGAAAAATATTTTTTTAAATAATAAAACAATTTTTGCACATAAAAATATATAATATATATAAAAAATTGAAAATTTGACCCACCTATGAAATTGGGACATGAGCGTGGACCCTGCTCGCCCAACCTGGGGAATCGGTATCTTGACCACAACTTTTAGGACTCACAATGTTGAACTAAAGTCTAAAACCACATTAAAACCAGGATATACAGTAATTTTTTTCTTTTTTTTTACCAAAACGAAACCATACCATTTTCGAACCCTAATTATTTCGTTTAGAGTTCTAAGAATGAATCGGAAACCCATCGATAGCTCGCGGATCCGATACTTATTATGCCATCCTTAATTTTGACGCAAATTAAATTAATTACAGTAAAAAAACAATCAGTGACATGGTCCAAACTCAAAACTATTAACCCAACACGATCCACTTGGATCATCGATTTTAGCTAGGAGTATATATAATTTCCATTGGAGATTAGGCCCAAGTAATTGATATCACTTACTCCATATATATATATATTATCAAGCATAATACATTACTGTAGCATGGAAGAAAGCAGGCCCGTTCCTGGGAATTCGGGGGCCATAGGTGAGGTTTAAAGAACAACTGAAACCTGAAAACAGGGGTCCCAATTTTATGAACCATTTTTTTATATTAATGGGTGTTCGAAATTGAATGTAGTAAAAATAAGTAATTAAGATATTGATTCTTAGTTTAGAATAAAAATAAGTAATTAAGATATTATAAATTAATATTTAGGGACCCCAATGTTAAGAAAATTTCAAAAATATCTATTGATCATTTAGTTTAAATTTATTTTAGAACCGATGTTCCAAAATAATATATATAATAAATTTTTAAAAATAATTACTAATATATAAAGTGTATATAAAATAATTTGGGGGTCCCAAATTTTCGAAAAAAATCAGGGGCCCTAGGCGACCGCCTACTTCGCCTCCCCTCAGAACCGACCCTGGAAGAAAGCAAGACAAGAAAATTGAATTTTGTTATTTATCAGAGAGGCACTCTTCGAAGAATTTTCGATACCAAAAAAAGAATATGAAAAAATAATAAAACAAATTTGGTGGTATGTGGGATATGAATATGAACTGTGATAATAACAATATGAATATTAGCTGCTTATAGTTGTCTAAATTATTTATGTTGAAGGACTAGCTAGTATTTTCCATTTAATTTCCCGCGAAACATTTTATATGCCGGTGAATATTTTTTTCTCCTCGCACAGGGTACACCGTACACCTGGTTTTTTACGCCGGATGAATTTGAACCGTAGATTTGAATATCGAATAATTATCCAGTAAACACACATACATATGAGTGTGTGTGTCTGTGATTAATTATATGTAGATTTAAGGTCCAAATCCACTCATTTTAAATAACCAGATGTAACATCTAATTTAACTCATTCATAGCGTGGTTAACATTAAACAATCACAATAATATCCTTTTATTTTGGATATATATACTTCAAAGAATCATATATTACACTTTATTCTTTAACAAATCGAAATAGAAAATAAACATAGCAACAATTACACTTCTTTAATTTTCTCCATGCATGCATATTATTATTTCTCTTTACCATTGTGACGAAGATGATAATTAACGATGGTTGTTCGACGCAGACGTGGATTCCGCCATTTCCAAAGCTTGATCACCACTAATGTTTTTATGCGATCCAATTCCAACATGCGACGACCCTTTTACAGTTTCCGCCTCGGTTTTCTTGATTTCTTCCTCGATATGGAAATCCTCATCGATTGTCACCACAGTCATTTGTGTTCCATGCGGGCCCGGTACGACGGCTTCTTGGATCTTTACATGCTCGTCGATTTTAATCTTATCCGTCTCGTTGATAATTTTCTTCTTCTTCTTTTTGGCGCAGCAGAAAAGGGCCGCCGCAAGAAATGCAAGAAAGAACAGCCCGCCGACCGAGACAAAGACGACAATGATTACGGTAGAGTGATGATGACCTGGAGGTGGTGGTGGTGGTGGCAAAATGGGATTGGGCGGAGATGGAACGATATGAGGTGGCGGTGGAGAGATGGGATGAGGTGGTGGTGGCGGTGGAGGAGGAGGGTGATGTGGCGGTGGTGGTGGTCGAATAGGGGATTTTGGTGGTGGAGGTGCGATGGTTGGTGGATGAGGTGGGGCCACTTTGGGCGGGGATGGAGGTGGCGGTTTCGCGTTTGGCGGTGCCGGAAAGTAGTGTGGTGGGGTAGGAGGGAAATAAGGGTATATTTGGAAGTTTGGGACTTGAGTCATTGCTATATAGTATATATTTTCACTTGTGAAATTATATGATGATTTATGATTCATCAAGTGTTGTAGCACAACTATTTGTAGCAAGTGAAAATGGGGGGCTTTGTTTATTTATGCTTAGGCTTGTTAGCTTTCTGTAACTTGACTCGTGTGCTATGTGGGGGTTGTCTTTGGTTGCATTAAAATCCACTCTTTTTATTTGACAATTTAATATGTTCATGGGGTCTATTTAATCTATTTATTTATAAACCATAGTACTGGATTTACTATTGTGAATTAAATAAGAAATAATTTTATTTGTGAGAAGCATGTATATGAGTATTCAGACATTTAAGAAATTCAATCTAAACTACCAAATAATATAATTAATTTTGATTAGCAATATATCAAAATGAATCAAGCCTACTAAACAACGTCTACTATTGATCCATATCCTACATGTTATCTTTATAGGTGGACCTTCTTTTTAATTTTATTTTTCCTTTTACGAATTTCTCTATCAGCCAATTCTTTTATGGCATCCTATACCAACTTTTCTATCGATAAATTTTTTTTTTCTTATTTTTTTTTAATATAAATATATTTTATAACCATATGTTAAGAGTATTTATGTAATAATTTTATTTTATAAAGAGTTCATGTTAGGTGCATGTTGCACGGGCACGGAAATTGCGGGAAAACGGATGCCGGGAAACGACATGTCCAAGAAATTGAGAATATGGGAACTTAGAGGAAACCGTGTGTAAATACTATAAGTACAGAGCTATATTTATAATATGCTACATAAACACGTAAGTTTTTATTTATATATAAATTCGTTTTATATTTTTTCATACAAATATATTCAAAATAAATATTATTATCAATCATTAATTTGTAATTGATCATTAACTCATGTAAATAATTAGGAAATAACAAAAAATATTTGAAAATTTGTTAAACAAACACATTTCTAATTTTTCAGAAATTGCAAAATGACCCATAAGGTGTCGGCAGGTATCCTCAAGTGTCGGCTACGAAACATCTACAAAACGCAAATACATTAAGAAATTGAAGTTTTCGTGCTATATATATATATATATATATATATATATATATATATATATATATATATATATATATATAGGTTAGGCGAGTTAATAATCTATTAAGAAGGTGGCTGACTATAAGATGTTTGCATGCTCTAAAAAATATTTAGTACTTGTTTTCTTAAGAGATCTTAAAAAGATGAAGAGCTAATAAATTTTCTTTTTAACCAACCTTCATTAAGAGAGTCATTACCTAACCTTTACTAATAGGGTACGTAACGGTCTAGGGTTCGAGTTCTCCCCCCCTCCCTACATCCCCTTGTAAGGACTTAAATTTACTCAAAGAAAAAGTAATAATAAATAAATAAATTTTCTTTTTTAATAAATCGCATATCTCGACTTTTTTTTTAATCAAAGACCTTATATGCTTCACAAATAAATAGTGGTGTTATTTCCAATTTCAAAGTATTTCAATTCACCACAAAAAAAAAATATATAAAATATCATGAATACTCCTCGAATTTCTAATCCACTACCCTACCTTATATTCGATTAATTTTCATGTGTCCTAAGTTATTTCTGTTTTTGTTTTGCAATGAAATATTTGTTACAAGATATTTAAACTTCCATATCAGATAACGTGCAGATTATGTAACATTTCTTTTTTGAAAAATTGAAATTATATTAAGCCAAACTGGTCAATTCTCGAGGAAGTTCAAGACCTTCCAGACAATCATAAAGTTCATGACCTTCCATACAAACACTATTAATTTATTTCTTCAAGAACGTGAATTCCTGCTCATTTTGACATTCGGAGATGTTTTTCTCTGACGAGTGTATTGTTTGTTTAAGGTGGAGATAGTGGGATTTTGTGTTAAAGATTGCAGTAAAAAAATGTGGATTTTTTTTATAAATATTTTAAGTAGTTTAGTAGTGGACGGTTTATGAATTTGTACAGAATATAGGTGAAAGAAGAATGAGGGGTAAAATAAAAAATATATTTTAATTTGATGGTGAAATAAGATATTTTGAGGGTGAAAATAACAGGTCTCTAAATATAATCTAGGGTAAATTACAAACACCCCCTGAGGTATGATCGATAAAATTACGAAAAAACCCCTCCTGTTTGGGTAATTATATTACAACAATCCCCCTCAACTATAAATTTTCTTACACCTCCACCCTTGCGGTTTCAAATTTAGTGGAATCTTCTTGATTATATAGAATATTATCACTTTTGTACCCGTTTTATCCCATTCGAGCTCCACATTTTGAAGCAAGATGATCATAAGATGTGTTTTTTGGCTTGTATATATCAGATTGTGGTGTATCAGAAACTGTAATTTTACACAAAACGAGTATAAGTTAGAGCACATTCCAAGGAATCTAAATGATTATGTTGAATATTGACACTATAAGGGTGGAGGTGTAAAAAAAATCATAGCTAAAGAGGGTAGATGTAATTATCCAAACAAAATGGATTTTTTCGTAAATTAATCATAATACAAGTTTGATTAGATAATGTTGACAGGTTACTTTTTGTAATTGTCATTGTAACAAGTCAAATACTATAATTTTGACGGGTTAGTTCCATTTTCCACATTTAAAATGTAGTATTATGGCACTTTACACCCTCGAAAGAATTTAATAGCACTTTACACCTTTAAACACAGTAAATAAACCACAATGCACGATAAATTGAATATTTAAATTTAATGAGGGTAATTTTACTTATATAGGTTTTCTTTTTCCTTCTATATAATTTCGAGCGTACAAAATGCAAAACAACAAAAGTTATAGTGAATTACTGAAAGAACTATATTTCTTTACTAAAACAAATAAAATTTTCTCATTAAATTATTCAATTGTCGGATTTTTTATTATAATTAGTGAAAATATTTGGAATAAAATATAATTTTAAAATAACTTTGTAACAAAAGTTGAAGGATTTTTTAGTTCTTTTTGTCATTTGTAAAATATTTTTTTTGTCAATTTTGTTTTAAAATGTTGAAGAACTGTATTTTATTATTGCATATTGTAGTTTCGAAAGGGCTTGTGAATAAAAAAAAAATGATTTGACATTTGTCATTCTAAAAAATATAACTAAAAATATTGAATTGCATTCAATAGCTTTTAAAGATTCATCCGAGATCCGTTATGCATGATTTATTGTGTTTCGAATGTACAAAGTGCTACTAATTTTTTTTCGAGAGTACAGAGTGCCAAAATATTATATTTCAAGGGTGAAAAATGGAATTAAGTCATGCGAGCTTATATTGCTAAACACTCCTAAAATTGAAAAAGACTAAGAATTAAAAACAAGATCTAATTTTACCTAAAAGCCCACGAGAAAAATATTTTTAGACATTGAGGGTTCTGCCGCTCAGGGGCGAGTCCACCCAAGGGGTAGTGGACTCAAGCCTCACTTCCAAAATCCCCCCCCCCCCCCCCCCAAAAAAAAAAAATTTTTTTG